ATGTATGTATGTATGTATGTAAGCACCGACCTGCACATGTGAGCGTGTAAAGCTACATGTGGAGGAACACGTGTCTAGGCAGGAATGTTTGCATGGATGGAAAGAAGGCGGGATGGATGGATGGATGGATGGATGGATGGATGGATGGATGGATGGATGGATGGGTGGATGGATGGATACACTCCCAAGGGAGGTTGATTCAGGAAAGAGGCAACCAAGGCCAGAAACGTCAAAGTTGCAAATCCAGTTGGCGTCTCTTGTAAATAGAACAGAGTCGGTGGCATCTTTGATCTCGCTGGCGCATCTCGCTTCTTTTCTCATGCAGCATGAAGCCTTGCATTCTCGGAGAGGGTAGCAAATTTTTCAGCTCGGGATCGATGTGGGTAGTTCTCTAAATGCGGGTCCCTGTTTAAGCGCCCAAAATAATACGGCACCTTAATAAAAGGCACCCTGATTTAGAGAAGTACCCACAAGACAGGCTATTCAGATCTGCAGGCCGATGTCCCGGGTGGTTGGGCGCTGAACAACGGCAGCCTTCACATGACCTTGGGAGTTGGCGGTAGTCCTGTGCTCAGATTGGGGCTTAGGGCTTACAGTAAGGTTTAGGCTTTAGTAGTTTGGGGTTCTGGGTTTAGGATTTTTTTTCTGCGGTTCAGGGTTTGGGAGTGTGTGGTTGGAGAGCCAGACGAATGCATGTGCAGGTGAACCGAGATTGAAAACGAATGCTTCGAAACTAGCTCGGAATGGTGCCTGCGCCCGACAAGAAGTATTCCTGAATGCCATGGCGTTGTGCGTTACTCTGGTTGCTGCTGGTTTTAGAGATCGTGAGATTAGCTTTCCAGAGAGGGGAGGTTTCGCAGGGCTATGACATTGGAGCACCAAGGGAAACCACGATGCTTGGACTCTTGGCTGGTGTCGATCTGTCTGCATTTGGTACTCTGTTGATTGGAGTCGCCAAGGTTGGTTTTCAGTTTAGCGTACCCTAAACCCTAAACCCAAAACCCGTCGATGCAACGAGTCAGCGCTCCTGCTTGCTCAGTCCACATCACGGACAAGCTCGAAGCGAGATTACACTTGGATGTTCAGGTGACATTGTCGTGGGCACCCAAGTGGGTAAGAACAGCCAGACAACTAGGTTCCTGAGTAGTGCCCTTTTGCTATCTTTTGCTTTTTTATTTTGGGGTCTCCTCATATTAAAGCCGAAATCTTAGGAAAAAAGGCTACCCTTAATTAAGTAGGGGTCACTCAGGAACCTAGGCAAGGGTCTAGAAGATCGAGCAGAGGTGGCTCAGTGCACTGGTCCCAGGCCTGGCCGTGTGAATTTTACCATGGAGCTCCCACGCGCTGAAATGCCGGGCTCTGAAAGCGCTCAAAAAGCGTAGGACCGTACTTGGAGGTTCATGGGTAGTTATAAGTGGGGTTATAAGTCCCCTAATATAATTATGATTACCCTACTTATAACCCTACTGCCCTACTTATAACTACCCATGAACCTCCAAGTACGGTTTAGGGTTTCAGGTTTAGGATAATTTCTCTCCGACCAGTCAGGTGGGCAGACCTGAGATTCTTGGTGGATGGCGTGGTCAGCTCCAACATCCCCGGCTTTCATGTGGAGCGGCTCGGTGCTTACCGCAGATTCCCTGGGCAGAGAGCCTGTCAAAACCGCCAAAACCTGCTCTTGTTATCGAGGCTTCCCATGAGGGCGGAGCATGTGACCCGCTTCCAGGTGGCCTTTGCAGAGCGCCCTAAGACTTTTAACAAACCCCAGAACCCTCACACTAAAAGCCCTTCAACCCCAAACCCTAAAAGCCCTAAACCCTAAACCCGAAAATACCCTAAACCCTAAAAGCCTTAAACCCTAAAACCTTCAAGACCCTAAACCCTAAGAACCCTTCAACCCCAAAGACGCTCGAACCCAGCGTTCCGTGGGTTCTACGAGGTCACAGGGCCTCTCTGGCCTGGACGTCACCGCCTCACGTGGAGCTGCCTGGAGCCCGGACAGAATCGTAGTTAGAATAGGGGTTTTGGGATTCCTTTAAACGGTTCCTTCAAGGGTTCTATAAGGGCTACTATCAGGGTTTAGGGTTTAGGGGCCTTAATAGTTAGAATAGTGTTCGGGGGCCTAGTGAACTCTAAATAGAATAAGGAACCCCAACACCCTATATGCTAATTATTAAGGCCCCTACATTAGGGTTTTTAGGGTTTGGGGCTTGGGGTCTGGGGCCTCGAGTCTACCTGGGGCCTTAGGGTTTTGAGGCCTAGGGCTCTGGTTTTTTCGGGCTTAGAATGTTAGGAGTTCAAGGTTTGGAGCATCAGGGTTAATCATCACGGGGCCTTTAGGGTTTAAAACATCAGGTTTGGGATTTAGGCATAGTCATGATCATAATCATACTAGAAATTTGGAATCCCTTAGCCGAGCCGTTTGAGGTAGCCACTCACTGCTGGGAGCTGCGGGGAGCTGAGAGTGAAATTGGTCAAAGCGATCATTTGATTGGTGATGCCCGCGTGGGGTTGCGGACCGTTTGGGGCTTCGGGTATAGGTTTAGGGTTGAGTGTTTAGGGTTTAGGGTTAGGGTTAGGGTCTAGGGTTTAGAGACTGCTGGAAATATGCAGGCTTGGCATTGACATGGGCAGACGGAAAGGTGCATCGGGGGTGTCCGGTCTGTGCCACGAGTTCCTGGCCAGGATTTGCGGCGGGTGCGGCTGCTTCGTGTGGCCGTACAGGGAGCTGCAAATGCAGGCGGCGAATGGGCAATGGGCACTCTCGAAGTGCTTGTTGTTCTCACAAGGATGTGTTGTAGCGTGTGGCTATCAAGACCTCTACTGTAGCAAGGGATACCAAATGCCAAATGGAACCAACTATCGTACTTGAAGAGCACGATTCGAGACGAGGTGCATCTGAATGTGCCCCTTGCCCAGCAGGACAGGAGGCTTGTCGGGCACCGACCTAAAACATGCGTCAGTTGCCAATACGGAAGCAGGTGGCACCGAATGGTGCTAGCTGCCGCAGCTGTCCTCCTGGGCATTTTCTCGCGAAGGCCGCCACACACTGGTATGCTTGCATAGAAAGGTGCGAGCTACTTGGAGGTTCATGGGTACTTATAAGTGGGGTTATAAGTCCCTAGTAGGGTTATAATTATAGTTACCCCACTTCTAACCCTACTTATAACTACCCATGAACCTCCAAGCACAGTATCGTTTCGCCGAATTCCAAGCCGTGTACTGGGTGCCTGACACGCGGATCCGGCTGCAGGTGGCTTCCAGTACTCGCTGCACTGCATGCCGGCCAGGTCCAGCATCCAGCCGGGTTTGTGGAGAGTTTAGGGCTGAGGGTTTAGAGTGTCGGAAGAGATCCATCCAATCAGATTGTTGTCACTCATCGAGATTGCAGCGGCTTCCTGCGACACTGTGATCGTGTGCAAGCCTCACGTGAAGGAAAATTCAGCGACACGTGGGCCGCCACGGACTGTCGCTTTTGTGGAGCAGGCAGTCGCATATCCTTCGTCGAAGAGCTGGCTACTTGAGGCTTGTGATTGTGCCACTGGCAGGCACCACCGCTGGTTCCGGCGCAATCACTTGCGATCCCCAGCCCATCCTGCTCACGCGCGACTTTGCGGCAGCTGCGAAGGCAAGGGCCTGTGGCGCACTGGATCCAGATCGCCACGATGATAGTAATCATAGTAACAATGCTCGTATAGTAGTAGTATGCCGTAGTAGTAATAGTGAAAGCAAGCAATAATAGTAATGATAGACATTGACATAGTAATAATAATACTAATAATAGTAATCATATAGACATAGTATCAATACTAATATTAGTCATGATAGACATAGTATTAATACTAATACTAATGCTGGATCTCTTTTTGGTCAGGTCCTAACTCCTGGAGAAGTGAAGACCTCGGGCCTCGGAGTGAGTCTTGAAGCGCCTGTGGCCTCGACACCCAGGTCGTCATCAACGTCACTTCTGCGATTCAGCCTGGAGACTCAGGAGTTTTAAAGAAGAATGGCCAATACTACGGATGATTACCATAGATAGTTAGGACTAAAAAGAGTCATATAATAATCATCTTAAATAAACTAGTACTGTCTGTCCGCTTTCTGTATGTGGCGCAACTCGAAGTTCTAGAGGCGGTGGCGAGCGGCCACCGAGGGCGTGACTGGGCCGCTGCTGGTGGCTGGCCGGAAGTTCTACATCAGCCTGATGAGGCGCCCAGTCAGTGTCGACTCTGTCCAAGCAGATCCCTGCAAGTGGCGTCTTCGCATTTTCCTGTTTTCGTTGCAGCATGGACGGCTGGCCTGTTGATTCGTCAAGTGCTCAGACCGGCACCACCGCCCGGCGACGAGAGTGGCATGGCCTACGTTTGGGAGCAGGTGTCCAGACAGGAGCAGAAGTGGCCGCCTTGCTTTGTGTGAAGAGGCTCGGGGATCCTTCTAGACTCGAGGACTGTGCTCCGGCAGATCACGGTGGCTCCAGTGTGGGAAGCCCAGGGAAAGCATGTTGAGTAGTCGGCCTGCAACTACTTGAAGGTTCATGGGTAGTTATAAGTAGGGTTATAAGTAGGGTAACTATAATCCTTTCTGGCACGCGTAAGCACGTAAGCACGGACATGTATCTGTATCTATAAGTGCAGATAGACATATACATAAGTTTAGACATCCACGTCTATACGCGTGTACACATGTATGAAGGCATAGCTACGGGTATACACGGTTTCAGCGCTGCCGTTCAAAGTACGGGATATTGATATGTCTCTTGTACGTGGCCCTCCACGGGAGGTAGGGGGGGGGGGGCAC